TTCTAGTTTTGAACAAACACTTGAAATAATAGGAATTGTAAAACTATGTCCAGAATTCAAGACTGTCATTTGCTTGATATGAAACCAAAAAAATCATTCAGTTTCTGATAAAACACTTAAGAATTATTCCGATGAGAATACTTGAAGTTTGCGAGTAATTCTTAATCCATTTAGATCACCAGGTGAAACAGGATTACTAAAGTAATCAACATGAAAACTCTGAATTGTGTCAAATCTGTGAAGAAATATTTAACATTGTGATATTATATATATATATATATATATATATATATATATATATACATAAACTCGCCTACGTAACTAGTTCACTAGTTACCAGCCCGTCTTATCCTCGGGTAAAAAAGGAACGTTGGGCATACGGCTAGCAATCCTACTCCGCAAAACCAATCCAACTGCTTAACGAACTTCAAAGCACAAACAAATATTAAAAATAAAAACAAAATTATTTCTCGCTGGAATCTGAGAAAAGAAAGGGTGCCGGTTGGTGAAATCCTTCGGGAAACCAATTAGTCCACATGTCTTCTCTCGTTGAAAGCAAAAGTAGGAATAGGGACATGGAACCTGGCAAGTCTGCCTAGACTCCTAAACAGGTGAGAAGGTATAGCATAGAAATGCTAGGAATCTACGGGGAATCTACAGATGGAATGCAGGGGGATCCTCCAAAATTTCAATGAATGATAGTGGAGTACTGTTGCAGACTTCTGGGCACTCAACGATTTCGTGATCTGATGCAGTGTATACAAACAAAAGGATATTCACATAGCGACATGGACTTCATCTGACACCAGACACACTAAAAATCAGATCGACTTCATCTCAATGTGAAGAAAGTGGAGATACAGCCACTCTGCTCGACACAAGATCAGATCAGCTGTGGAAGATGAGCAGGTGCAGGTACATTTACATCGCTCACCATCCAGTGCAAGGAACCTAGCCTTCAAAATCAAGTTGAAAACCTTCAAAGAATATCGTCATGATGGACCACAGTTGAAGTTGAACACCCAGAACGAGAACTGGGGGACGAAACTACAAAGGACATCTCCACGTCAGTCAATCAACAGGAAAAATGAGAGATATTGAACAACATTCCTGAAGACACCTGCATGTAAAAACACTGGCACTCTCCGAAAGAGATGTGGAAAGAATCCTACATAACTGCGTTAGGAAGGAAGAAGAAACAAGACATGGAATGGATCTCAACGGATACATGGAAGCTGATAGAGCAAGGAGAGGATGATGGTGAAGCAGAGGGTAGACCGGTGCAGTACAGTGTAGGGATGAACAACGAAGAGAGGAAGTCAGCATAACCCATAAAACATTACACTGAACAAAGGAGAGAAGAAGGGTTGGCGCGAAGACAAAACACACATCTACGACATATCTGCAAGTGAAGCAGATCAGGCTGCTGATAGGAGTGCCCTGACAACATTATATCAGATGACCAGGTTACAATTTGGGGGGGGATGAGATCAACTCAGATGAGATCAATGAGAGATAGTTGAGAAAATCTAGTAACCGTGAAAGAGAGAGGAGGAACAAAGGAACCGATAGGCTGACCATTTCAAAAAATTCTTTAATCGACCAACAAAGACACCATCTGCAACTCGTCCAGAAATACCACCAGCAGACCAACCACACAACTATCAGTGAACATAGGCCCTCCGACAAAAGCAGAAGTGAAGTCATGAACGCCATGAAGTTGCTGAAATCAGGGAAAGCACAAGGACCAGAAACACTGAAAACATGCAGAGACAACAGTGGACATACTCACACCACAGTCCTATTGCCGAAAATTTGCAAGGAAGAAGGGAAGGTTACCTGTCGATTGAATGTAAGAATGGCCACCTGGTCAAACTCCCAAAGAAGGGCAACCTTAGTCTTTGCAGGAACTGATGTGGAATAATGCTACACATATGTACACCCCAAGCAAAATATTAGGCCGCATCATACTGAAGAGACCGGAACAGCCCAGCTGGCTGGATTCAGGAAGTACAAATCAGGTATGGATCAAATTGCAACACTACGCCACGCCATGCCACGCCACGCTACGCTACACACCATCACAGAACACAGAGTAGAATGCCAGTCAACTCTCTACCTCAACTTCATCGACTTTGAAATGACCTACAATCGAGTCGTCGCACAGGAAGTAATTTGGTAGGCAGCTGTTTCAACACAACGGAATAAGTGCTGAAAACCATCATCAAGCTCATTCAACAGCTACAGGGAGACGCCATATGCCGAGTGATTGAAAATGGAAAGCTCAGTGATGCCTTGGAAGTGAAGACAGACCGCCTTCTATCACCGATGATCTTCTTCATTGTGGTCGACTGGACTGGATCATACAGCGAACCGAGAGGAGCGAGAAGACTGACATGGGCTGAGTGGACTGATGAAATGGCCTCAGAATACTTGAAATTCACCGATGATGATTGATGTCTGTCTTGTGTCACACAAACCAGAAGATCTGCAGGCAGAAACTAACAAGTTGACGGAAGAGACAAGGCTGCGAAAACGGGACTTGCTTCAAGTGAACGTAGAGAGGATAGTGGTGATGAAGATACCTAACCAAGAACCACAACAAGTACCGATCACCAAGAACCAGAGAAACCTAAAGGGAGTTGTCTCTTTCACCTTCACAGGAAAGACAACATCGTTTCAAATACAGGTGGTGGCACAGACGAGGATGTCAAAGCCGGGATCGCAAAGTCAGCCAGACAGGTCTTCACTAATCTGGAACTTGTGTGGAGATCTACTGCACTCAGCATAGAGCATGAACAACATCCGGATCTTCAACATGAATGTCATTCAATTCAGTCGGTGCTTCCATGTGATGGTTGAGAAACTTCGCACATCACGAAAGCATTTCCACCAAACTACAAATATTCATCAACAGCTGCATACACTCAATACTGAAGATCAGATTGTGGCTGGCTGTTAACTAACCAAGGAAGGAAGAACCCATCTGCCAACAGATATGCAGAATGAAGTGGAGATGGATTGAACATACATCGAGAAAACCATTCGGAGACATCAGGTGCAGGCCAGGCCGTTGAGTGTAATCCATATTGGAAGCGATGAGTTGAGCGTCGGTGTTGATGGTGACGTGGAGAATATGGTGTTAGGAATGAATGAAATCTTGTGAGCAGTGTTGGAGCGAGGTTGAAAAGACTGCATAGAACGGAGTGCAATGGAGGTGTGCTACTGAAGCTTTTTGTTACACAAGGAACCTAAGGAACTAATAATATTCATATTAAACTGAGATGCAGTCACATACGGGCTAGGATGAACGCTTTGTCGCTCTCCGAACATGTACTCCGGATGTAGCGGCAGTTTTTCGCCTATCTTCTCCGGCGATGACTAATAACAAGGTGGTTTATCTGCCTGAATTGCTGAGTTTAGCTCGGTGGACACCACGTCAGCCACTGTCTTTCTTTGTGTCTGTAATTTATGCAAACTAAAAATATGCGGTTATCTCAGCATAGTTGTAATAGGCCATCTGTACGTTCAGCCGGGATTCCGAAAGTGTTACCTAAGTGCCTTTCTGCCTCTCTCGGTCTGCCCGCTTGCACATTGAAATCGCCTTCAACAACCACTACGTCTGAACGTTTAGCTTTCGAATGGAGGCTAGACAGTTTTCGGCAATACTCGTCGTTTACTTCATCAGTCAGTGTGTGCGTAAGCAGAGATTTAAAAAGACAAAGGCGTGTTTCACTATTTTTTTTTAGTTCTCACTGTATCGATCAGCCAGACAGCGCAAAGGTGACTATCAACTTGGATCCAGTGTAGTAGTGAGCTTTCTGCTTTAGTACTTGGTGGTATGCCTACACCTGCAAGACCGTGAGAGCACGCCATGAGATCTCCAGAAATTTGAATGGTGAATTCGGTGGATTCAGCAGATTCGCTGGAAGAGTTCATGTGAATGACCACACTTAATTGCTGTGTGCGAGTCCCCCTGACACAGCACACATCCATAGCCCTGGTTGCTATGGTCTTTGCCAATGAAGCCTTTCGACCAATTTGACAGAGGGTGACGAACACTGAAGGGCCCGATGTGTAATTTAGGACGTAGTTTAAGGAGACCAAGAATGCTGTACTGGGGACTCAGATCGTTGTCGAAGGTTGCAGAGCTAGGATAAATTGAAGATGATATAGGATTGTTAACTAAAAGGCATGAAGGAAGATTAGAAGATAAGGATGGGGAAGGTGGATAGCAGTTCGAGGAAGCCTGAGTGCTGACAGAGTTGTGAGGGCGGTTGACACTTCCCGGCTGCCCACACCGTGGAAGGCTATTTCTTGTTAAGGTACCTGAAAGAGATTTGCGTGACCACAAAGCCTGTCGGACAACTGCTTGAGACCTGTCACACGCAGCCTTTTGTTTATGCTTGTTTTGAACTTTTGTTGTAATGGTCCCCGACGGTCGAAAAGAAATGCCAAGTGAACCGACACCGCTGGCCCGGCAGAGTGTGGGGTATGGTGGAGTGTGTTGTTTTTGGGGCCAACCTTTTCTAACCCCCCTTCCACTGAGAAGGCAGTATCAGCATGGCACTGCTGGTCATCTAAGGGAAACACCTTACTGCTGTCACATCCCATCCAGCTAGCAGCAGTACGACTTCGCCGTCAGACTCCCATCATAGTGTAGTTATTTGCACCACAACGGTAACTGCTTTTCGTCGAACCACTATCTAACAGACGTTCCTGGTATGGTAGAACCTCAAGGGAACAAGTGTTCCACCAGCATAGCTCGTTTGTGATATGCAAGCCTGACCACCACATTAAGGTGGCAGCCAAGTGAAGTGTATGTTTGATGTCAGATTCTGGTAAATAAAACCCAGTCTCCACATGAGTTGAACCTCTGTACTAACAGACTGTGATTCGAATTCTAACAGTTTCTACAGGTAGTTATAGTGAGATTTTTTACCAAGATCTATCACTCCAAGATAGATAATTACTTTATTTCTTTCATTTTATCTTTCTAGCCATTTTCTACCGGTTTAAGTGTTCATGTGAATGTGAACAATATCAGATTGCTTCCAGAATATGAAGACGTAGAACACCCCGCTAGCGATAATGGAATTGTTTTAGATTCTTCAAGAAAATCTAATATGCAGCATTGGCGTAAACCATTGGAAACCATCATCAAAACATCATGTCGGTAAGTTACTTTCCAAACGATTTTCTGTGATTCTTCTGATTTATATAATTGGATAGTCTATGGAAAGCAAGTTTGGTAGAATAACACAAACTTCGGTTTTCAGATTTCACTATGGATGGTGAAGAAGTTGGTGCAGATTAAAGAAACAGTGGTTGGAAAGAGGTATGGATTAGACTTTATCTTAACTTCGATCTCCTCTGTTCTGTCTGCAAAAAAAGGTCTATTTAGAACAATATTCAGCAAAGTATGAAGACTGAACTCATAAATAAGTCCAGGATGAAATGAGCCATTGATGCTGCCTTATGATTTAAGGTGAATAAAAGTCTACACGGTGCAAGGATTCGAACAGGCAGCCTATGCATACAAGTCTGCCACGTTAAAAAAGATGCCCCACCGTTATTTCCTGTTCACAAAAGACCATTGATTAGTAATGTGAATGAAATGTAAAAGTATTGGTTTGTGGCACTGTCAGAAGACAGCTTATTTGTCAGTAACTCGCACTTCAAGGGAAGATTTTTGTTACAGAGATCCAAGAAAAGCTAGTTACTTCATTGTAGAGAACTTCCCTACTGGCAGAAAAGTCTGTTCATACGATATACACCGTTCGCTAACTTTTTGAAAAGTGGACAAGTTCCAAGCTCATGTTACCTTCCACTGTCCTAATAAATTGTCATCTTGCTTCTGTGCACGTTTCTAGGACCCCAAGAGTAGAATATTAACATGCCTTTAACAGTCCAGTCATTGACTAACCACTCAATATTCGGTAAACAGGCTTAATATTTAAACGATGAATAAATTGACATTTATTACATCTTACTGGGGACATTACTATTGTAAGGCTTAAGTTTCATGTGTGTAATAGGAACAGTACCCATGTCCATTCTCAACCATCCTAATAACCCCAGTTTGAAAAAGTGTGCTCAAAGTTTTATTACTGCATATCATCACATCGGCTTTTTCTATGATCTCTCTTCCTCTCTACCAATCAATTTCCAACTGCTTTCTTATCTAACCTTTGACCTTACTCTTCAAACTCCAGTGAATAAGATAATATTTAAGGATTACACAACTTATGATTTTTGGTTCTTCATTACTAATGAACCGTTGCTTTCCTCCATCCACTTTTAAAAACCTTCTTGCAGTAGAACTCATCTAATTACCTTCTAATTCCCCAATCTTTCCAATAATCTCAATCACTTTTACTCATCTGAAGAGCTTTAATTTATTACAAATTCAGGTTACTACCTATACCAAGCAAATAATTTACTGTTCCCTTGATTACAGTACGTGGATTGTTTTGTAACATATAATAGTAACAATAGTTTTATTCTAAACAATATTTTTGATAGAGCATAGTTATCTTAGCCTGCAATATTTTAAAAAATTAACTCCTAAAACAATATTTTCGAACGAAATGATCACTGCATCTGTATGATGCTAATAATAACAGTATTATTGGCAATAATGTGAAGCAGTCAGCTGTTTTTAGATTAGCGTCCAGTCTGTAGTGGAGAATGCACAGAAAAGCAAGTGTAAGTTTGGTGGTGGTGATTCATGCAGTCAGCATATGCATGTTATTTAAAGTCAAGTATCCAAGGTATTGAAATATGATGTGCTTTTGTCAATTCGAAAGTCCATTTCCGTCTAACGTGACATTTTTCTTTCGCTTTGTTATTAAGTCGAAAAACGGTTAGTCGAATACATTTCAAAAATGTACAAGAGTACATGATAAATTCGAAAGACATATTTAAAAGATTAAAACAAGCCGAAAAGAAAGAATTTGACGTAATATGTCGGGTGTAAAATTTTTGATAACCTATTTCAAGCATATATTGTGTCTGAATTGAATTTACTTTGTTCCCCCTACTTGTTAATTCTCTGTATACATTTTAAGTCCTATTTATATGAAAAGAAATGGTAGTCACCTAGTTAACTACACAGATATCCACAAGCAATTCAAAATTTACAAGTTTGTATTTAATTCCTCCACACTATCAACCCTTTTAGTCATATACGTTCTAGGCATTGAGAAAAGAGAAGTGTACTTTCGGTCTATCAGTGACTATATTATCTATAACGTTTCATCTTTTTAATCTAACCACAAGAACTACATGGTATCTTTTAATCTCATTGATTCTCTGATCTCCCTCTTTTGAAGAAACTTTTGTTAATTGATGAGTCATGTGTCCCACTGAAACTTCACGATTCCGAAAACTTTCAGTCTCTTAAAAATGGGATTGAAGCAGTTCACAAATATTTACTGATGTACAGTTGCTAAATACTCAATTGTTGAAGATCGCACTTCACAATGACTTCTTTCAGGCTTTGATATGTAAAATTAAATTTCTGTCAAACAGTCAGTTGATTGTTTATCTCTTCTTCTAGTAAATATTAGTGGCCATAACCTGACTTCTAATGCTTTAAGGACACCAAGTTTTATCATGAAGCACTATTCTCGCTTGTAGTTACACGTTTTAATTCCTCAAGTCACGTTTGTTGATCAAAAGTCAGCTTGTGTACTGCTGTTAATGGAAGTAGATAGCCTATTTAAAAGAAACATTCTAAAATTCATGAATACCATTAGGAATGCTTATCAAGGAAGGTGTTCATGATTCAATATTTCCACTCCTTAGTATTCGCTTTGGTTATAACGTTTGAAGTATGTTAGAATCTTGTATAGTTTCATCTATATAGTAGAGCTTAACCTATCCATCGTAAAGTAATATGCACATTTGTACTACAGAAATACTGCGTGGTCACCAGCAAATTGATGAGTCCTCTATAGTTATACCGCTCTTTTAGTCACTCACAATGCTATTGTCTGCTTTTCATAGCTTCGAATAGTTACTGTATTCCATCTTTCCCTCATTTTCACAGTTTCACTGGAAATATTATTATTTCTTCAGTTCACAAAATTTTGATGAATTTGATGTCCAATAAGTTTTTCCATCAGTGTGTAGTGCTTTCTATCTTGCTGGAATTGATCTGAGTCTCAGGATAGCTGTCCTAAATAAGTCATTTCCTTCCCAGGTATTCATCTTAGCTGTACTTATTCTTCTGTTTTATATTTTTATAGTCACTGGAACGTGAGTAAGGTAGGATACATTTCAAGGTAGGTTAGAAATCTCTTCACTTAACTAAACTGGAATTTGGGATTATCACACTAGAGTGCCAAATAGTTCGGATGATAATCCTTAAATCAGTAGCTGGAACATAGCGTTTATGTATGATACTTATCCTTGTAGGTTCTGTGATTCTATATTACGCTAAACGTTTTCGCTACACTCCCCTGACTGACCTAAATCAACAACTTTGACCTATCTACCATCAAGCTCACATAAATACTTCCATTTCACTTCACATAACCCTATTATTGCTAATGTAGATTTGGTAAAATGGCTGAATAACCAAACCAAGATTTGAACTAATAAATAAGAAAATTTAAATCAGAAACTCAAACATATCAGACTGATATTACCACTCAACAGCCGTTCCCAGAGATTATTCAGAAACTCATGAGGAAGCGAAATCACAAAAAACAGCAGAGAATTCAAAGCCTTTAAGATGGGATAGGGTGACAAATCTATAATCTAGTATGGCTAATTGAAGGAGGTATGGTTGCTGAATCTTTGTTTATCGAATCACCGTGTAAGCACACTACAGGAGTGATTCATCGCACAGTGAGGAAAGTTGAAAGACTCTACTGTCAATATAGATGACAAAACTGTAGATCTATTGAACCATAAGACGAAAGTGTTATCACTTTGATGAGATAATGAACTGTAAACTATCCCGAATTAGTGACGCTCTATCACTACAGCAGACTGAATCAAGAAGACTGATTCCACCTGTCTCTGACCATGATGAAGAGCGAAGGCAACTTAAGTGTGAGTTGATCCAGAGTCTTCATAGTGATCACAAGCAGTAGGGGTTGGTGAAAGCAAGACAGCTGGAGAAGGCATCAGAGTTGAGTTGCACTCGACAACTATTTCGGTCTTCTCTAGGATGCCAGCAAGAAGGGTGCATTGGTTAGTGAAACCATCATTGAAAAGGAGGGGATGCTGATAACCTCTCAAGATCGGTGGCTAAAGGAAATTGGATTTGGTTAGAAAAGTGCTCAAAGTGGCCAGACCAATGCATGACACTAGTCGATGAAGTCTTTGACTGTTGGTCTAAGCCGTGTGGGGAGATTTAAACTGTCTGGCTGGAGTATGCGAGACGATAAAAATCGGTAGTTTAGGTCTCTTCATGACATAGCTGAAAATAGATCACAACGGGACAAGTGTATTCACTCTTTGCCATCTCCTAAAGCTTGAATATTTGCAATAACCATCTTCAAATTGTTCACTCTCTCATACAACTTTTTCTACTTTGACATCATCCTTTTTCTATCCGCTGGTTCTATATAAACTACTGTGAAATGTATCAATTTGAACAGAGGCACTTGTGTAGGAGGTTATACGTTAATTTCGCCAGTAAGTTAGTCATCACTGTGTATCATGTAAAATGAATTTATCTAATATTGCATGCAACTACAAAATGCAATGAATTAAGATGACCGACCTGTTCACTCCCCACTTCGTTCCTATAAACACTCCTTGCTCCTGTTCCTAAGTTGGATTCGTTGGCATAAATAAAACATTTACCTAATCTAAATAAGTATTTTGACTGCATGATCATGCAGTGTGCAGGCAAACTTTAATTATTCCATAATATTTTATGTTTTATTATCCGAAAAGTTTTATTTCTGACAAATTGTTCAGTATTTACCTACATTTCGTTCAGTAGCTTACCTTCAAAACATCTATGTAGGGCATTATTATACACAGAATTATCAGTGTCTTGAGTTCAGTCGAATTCCAGTGTCTTCCAAGTGATAGTCTCACTCAATCATGAAAAATATTTCGAGGTTTAAACTACTCACTAAACTATCAATTGTTGAGATAAATAAGCTTAGAAGCGGTTAATAGCTCGATCTTAAACGTACTTTTCTTTTTTTA